TGTCTAGTATGCATGAAGCCCTAGGTTCTATCCCCAACATGAACATGGCAGTTCATACCAGTAATCCCAGTACTCAAGAAACAAAGGCTGGAAGATCAGAAGTTCAAGGTCTTCCTTGGGTACATAGCTAGTGTGAGGCTAACCTGGGAAACACAAGTTCCAGTCTCAAATAAATGAGAAAGACAGACAGAGAGGCAAGTTGATCTCTGTGAGTTTGAGGCTGCTCTGGTCTACATAGTGAATTCCAAATCAGGCAATGGCTACATAGTGAGACCCTGTCTCAAAATTAAATATAGATAGATAGATAGATATTAAAAGGTAAATAAAGGTGACTGCCACCAAACCTGACAGTTTGAGTTCTATCCCACAGACCCCCATTGGAAGAAGGAGACAACCAACTCCTACAAGTTGTCCACTGACCTCTGCAAGTTCACTGTGCTACTACTTTTGACCCCAGTAAAGAAGTAAATGTAACAAAAACCTTAGACTAAAAATGTCTTGGGCTGAGAATGTAGCTCAATGATAGAATGCTTGCCTGGCATGTAGGAGACGCTGGGATTGGTCCCCAGAACCAGGGGGGGACAAAAAGACATTTTGTGCCTTTATTATAACATAGCTCTATTGTAAGGTGTCCTCTGTGTTCTCATTATTCAAACAGGGAACTGAAGTCAGAGAGACCTTAGACAATTATTCTAGTGGGTCATAGCTCTCTTGCCTCACTCCAGAAGCATACAGCAACCTATTATGACTACATAGAGAAGATTTCAGAATTCTGCAAAAAGTAGTCTTCCTTTGTTTCCTTGGAAATAATTTTTCACTTGACTCCAGTGGGTGGCGGAAAGATTTATTGTAACAGAATGGTGTCAGTGAGCAGGAAGACCCCGTGCCCCAAGGTTCCCAGAGGAAGAGGGAAACCTGCTGCCACAGCCTGCCCTGTTGGGCCATTGAGAGGCATCAGAGCAGCTTCCATATGCTCTCGTTGTCACGGCGTTCTTGGGGGTTGGACTCTGCACTCCGGAGATGATAAAGATTCAGATAAAGAAAAACCTCTAAAGGTTTACACTACATTTAAAAACATATGTAGGCTTGTGAGAGAAAAAGGAACAGGAGGAAATAGAGTAGCTGCGTGTGGTGGCACACACCTTTAATCCCAGCACTCCAAAAGCAGAGGCAGGCAGATTTCCACCCTCTCTCAGGTAAAAAGAAACAAAAGAAAGAAAAAAATAGAGTAATAAAAAGCCATCTAAAGATGAAAAATACACAGAGTCTGGATACTATATGCTATATTGTTGTCTTTAAATTGATTGCCGAGAAAAGAGTTACTGCTGCTAAAATACATTTGATTATAGGTGCTGCTAAATTAATCCAATTTATACATTTTAAAAATGCTTTGACTTCAAAATTTAATTCTAAGGACAGGCTACTTGGGAAAAAAGTTTTTTGCTTGGGTTTCCACAGAAAATGAAAAGCTGTGGATTCCTTCCAGACTAATATGGTTTGATCAAGAAAGATCCCCTGAAGCAGTGACCCAACTGATCCCACTTCCAAAACAGCTGAGACATACAGCCTTACAAACTACAAAAACAAGGACTTGGTCAGATTTCTGTGTTTTATCATGATCCCCATGGTACGGACATCATCCTCAATCAGCAGGAAGCAGTTTGGAATGAACAATGCCCAAATTCCCAAATATTGTTTATAAATGTTTGTTTTCATTTAAATGGGGTTGGTTATAAATGATAATGAGCATAGTCAATCTCTTTTTAAAGGAAAAAAGGGGAATAGGATATAGGAATGAATACTTTGCATTGGTATGATTTTTCATTTATTGATACAACTTTAAGGTCAATTTTGTGATATGTATTTGTCTCCTCTTGTTTAGATATTGTGTTTATACAGATCTTTTAAAATGATATGCATAATTAAATACAGGTTATATAGTCACCTATAATAGTCAGAACTTATAATTAGGTTACTTAGGTTTTCTAGATACACAGAGATATATTTGAGATGAATAGGTATTCTTCAAACCTTTCAAAGACCTACAGAAATATGGCATTTAAATGGTTTGGGGTTTTTCTTGGCAGTGAGACACAACTGCTCCTGACACACCAATTATGTCAGAAAGGAGGATGGGCATCGAAGAAACTCAATATGGAGTTTTCTTTCAACATGGCAAGATTAGCTATTTGGGCAGGAAACTGCTCTTGCCTGGACTGTTTGTTTCTGTATAAACTGGACATGCAGGACCCACAAGAAAGTAACTGCTGAACTTACAAAACAAGACAGTACTTGAAGGGTTCCTGTTGAAATGAAGAAGTGTGCCAAACACACTATGGCCTATGGGCTGAAGATGGATGCCCCAACGTTACAGAGGAACTTTGGTTGACTGTCCAGGTAGAGAGATGTCTCTGTCAATTCTAGAGTTTATATATTATCCTTCTGTGGTCTTTGATAGAGTTGAAGACAGA